GTAAACTCAAATACTAGCTTAAATATTTCATAAAATTCTAAACAATAAATATGTTGTTGTGTATTGTAATAATAATAAGTACAATTATTTCAAATACTGTAAAGTTAATCTATTTTCGGCGCAAAAATGCGATTTTGATTAAGCGTTTGCAATTTATCAAAAGTTTTCTCTTGTGGGATGGCCGATTTACCTTATAGATTAAACACCGCCTTTTATAAAAGGATTGCAAATGTAACTTTATTGAAGGAAATTATTGTAAGCTATGGCCAATATATAAAAACGTATAAAATCAGTAAAAGAACGAGCAAAAACATTAACTTCGGCAGCACTAAACTAATATACCCTTCACAGGTGCATTTTACTAAGTAACAATGTGTCCAGCTTGTATGGAACCTATAGTAAACCGATCTGCACAATTTTTTCTGAAAGTTGTGTTATTACCTTAATCAGTATTCCATGTAAAATTTTGTGAAGATATCACGTCAAATGCGAAAGCTTTCCATACAAGCCCTTGATTCCGATCGTTCGGTTTGTATGGCAGCTATATGCTATAGTGAGCCGATCTGAACAATTTCTCCCGATATTACATTATTTCTATGCACAATAACTCATATCAAATCTCGTGAATGAGGAAGTTTCTCATGCAAGCATTTGTTTCCGATCATTCAGTTTGTATGGCAGCTATATGCTATAGTTAACCGATCTGAAAAATTTCTTCGGAGATTACATTATTACCTTAGAAAATAATCTATACCAAATTTCATGAAGATATCTTGTCAAATGCAAAAGTTTTCAATACAAGAACTTGATTCCGATCGTTCAGTTTGTATGGTAGCTATATAGTATATTATAGTGGGCCGATATCGGCAGTTCCGACAAATGAACACCTTCTTGGAGAGAAAATGATTTTTACAAATTTTCAAAACGATATTTTAAAAACTGAGAGACTAGTTCGTATATATACAGACAGACGGTCCAAGCTAAATCGACTCAGCTCAGCTCAACATATTGATCATTTATATACATATATCGTCACGTAAAATCAAAATAACGTAGCAAAATATCAGAAATTTACAGTGGTGTGAATGAAACACGAAATAAAATGGAACAAGACTCAAAAAAAATTTAATATTGGTTAAAACTGGTTCATATATGAGCGCAGAACCTGAAAATGCTGGACATATGTAATAATATGTATGTAATTCGAAGTAGTGAATCGTAATCAATAAGATACTCATTTTCGAATTTTTTGATGATACGTAACCCTGTTCAGGGTATAATAAGCTGTCACGTCCGCTGTGGTCTACTGTGGAAGGGATAAAGGGATGTCCAACTTATTCCAGTGTGAGAGCGCTTCAAAATTAGCATTTTTTATAGCATTTTTCATTGAAACCAGATTGAATAAAATAATAAGTTTTGGGTATTTAAATTAAAACACCCAATAGAAACTATTTAAATATTTTTAGGGTATGTTAAAACAACTGACTTTTGCCCATTCAATACCCAATTAAAGGATTTAAGCTTTTTATCTTTCAATCAGTAAATGTTTTTAATCATTTTCTATTGAAAATAATACTATGATGGCTGCCATTACAAAACGTTTCATCAAATAAATGTAAATTTCACAAATTTATTTAATTTTGATTGTTTTACATTTTTTATAAGTGGTCTTGAGCATTGCAAATAATCCCTCAGTTTATACATTTTTTGGTGAGACTTTAATATGGCCATCGCTCGTTTAGCAATTGCTCTCTTACTTCCAATGAGAGATGAGTTTTTATCTCTGCCGGTGGTCTGTCTGTCTGTCTGTCTGCCTGTCCTTAATTAGTCTTCGCTCCTACTGTGCATTTGTCATTCCAGACCGACAATTTCTGCTCCCTGTTCCACAGTGTTGCATTTTTCTTTAGGTCTTATTGTCCGTTTACGCATTCCTACATACCTATAATATATTGCAAACAATGATTGGCGGCTCACGTCCAAGGTGGTAATGAACAAACTCCATCCTGGAGGACAAATATCAGACTAAGGGAAAAATTGTATCGGTATTCTACTTCCCTACATTATGACGAATTCGTTTCATTTTCGAACACTGTCTATGTTAAACTCCACTGGTAAAATTCTTGAGCAGATTATACTTATGGTGACTGTCAACAGCAAACACGAGTTAGTAGATGTCCCAAAGATGCCAAAGATGTAAGAACCCTGATTGAGAAAAATCCGTAGAAATCACCAAAATTTCAGCTATGACTAAATAGAACACGTGTTTACCTAACCCAACCTTGGTAAATGTAGTACTCTCGCTAGTTCACTGCCCAGAATATATGCAATGAAGCCGATATTAAAAATATATATATTTGGTACAGAAACAACTCCAGAAATCCTAGTATACCAAGTGTTTGGGCACGATTACGATTCTTTCGGCGCCGGGGTTTGGTGGTACGGATGGATGGAGGAGGTCCTCAGGATTAAAAAATGTATACACATATACCGTCCTCAGACTCATAGTTTTCGAGATATTTCACTTTAAAGTTCCACAATTTTATATGCAATTCAATTTTATTTTGTTTTGTTTTGTTTTTCTTTACATGTCATGACAAATACTAGTGTTTCCACATATTGTGTTTGGAAAAAACTATTAAACAAAAACAGGGTTATTTTTCCAACACCGGGGTAATTATAGTTCTTTTGTGTCGAACTACTTTCTGCACTAGCGGCCTTTGGCCGCTCCTCAAAAAAAAAAATAATCCTCATCGATCGAAAACCTATTTTAATCAAAAGGAGAGCAATACTAAAAAACCCTGCATTCTATAATAAGTTTTTTCATTTATATCTCTAAATATGAAATAGATTTTTGATTATATTTTCAGGACACAAAGTATGGCAATACTGCTATTTGTCATAAATGTAAACACCCAAATCTCTTGATGTGTTGAATGCAATGCTCGCGACAGACTGCAAACCACATCTGTCAAATATTAAAATACACATGTTTTTATAAACGAACCTATTTTGACAGCTGCACGACTACACGTCTGCAGGCCGACAGTTGTCGTTTTCGCTAACTTCAATTTGATCCTACATTTGTCAACGACAGTAGGGCGACAGTACACTTGACAGTAGAATGGAAGATATAAAGATGAGGTAGAGTGGTAATGCCACTAATATGTAAAATGTAAAATTACTCAAAGCTCTAACAAACCTGACGTTATTTTACAAATAAAAGCATAAAATAGCTCTGTTACATGATTTATAATAACAATTGATAATTTAAAACAAATAAATTTACCTATTTACTTATTTTTTGCTTAAAAATTTCGCTTTGAACAAAATATTAAAATTTCATTGAAGTGCAAGGTATTAGTATGGCCACAGCGAAATTGTGTACATGCAAAATGGACAACTGAGTTGTTTTGTGTACACGCCGGCGATTGTTATGATGCTGCCCTCTCACAAACGTTCTTGTAGTAGGATTCACAACGCCATTTTCAGTTCACTGTCGTGCTGCTGCAGTCTGTCGCGAGCATTGTGTTCCGCACATGAATGTGCAAAATAGTTTTTAAAGTATATTTATGTTCTTAAAAAATATAAATGTGTACAGTGTAATTAATTATATATTAATTAAAAAATGTGTGAAAAGTGGGTTAAACATAGTGAAATAACGAGCATTGTTTTTAAAAATTTTTGAACTTTAAAGTGAAATATCTCGAAAACTATGAGTCTGAGGACGGTATATGTGTATATATTTTTTAATCCTGAGGACCTCCTCTATCCATCCGTAGCATCAAATCGCGGCGCCGAAAGAATCGTAATATTGCCAGTGTTTGAATGGCTAGAAAAGTGGAAACCGGCGCATACAATAACCGCTAAAAATATACAAACATACAGTGTCAAGGTACAACAACGTATCGACTAAACGACTAGAGCACGAAAAGAATTTGGCGAAAAGCAGTCAGCACGGTGCTGAAAGTATTCGGACTATTACTGACGTAAAAACGTTGGTAACCATCCTCCAAATATCGGTAAACGACAGTAGATTTAGTTGGGACTCTCCGTTATAGTATCCAACATAAGTATACAACCAACTATAATCTAAATAAGGTGACACCTTTGCACTTTAAAATAAAAAAACACAATTTTTTACTTTACTTACTTGCACCGGCGAAGAGGTGGCTGCACTTCGGGTGCTCTACCCATTTCGTCCGCTTAAGCTGATCTACCAGTTATCGAATCCCTAAATTAAGATTTCTTATGCGAGCCGTAGCAGTTGAAATTACTTTGCCAAATTGATGTTCGCCAACGATTAGATCCGTAGGATAGAGTAGTGAGGTGAAGGTATTCACCGAGATAGTGTGAAAAAATTATGCCAAAAAAGATTCTTACAATTACAAATCTCCAGAGGATTGCGGTACTTGTTGTTCATTAAAACATTTCTTTAATATTTTTAAAATTCCCACAATATTCATTCACTGCATTTTACACGTCCTGTCAGAAAAACAATACGATGTTCCCAACTATTTAACTCTTAGAAAGTTAGCACTTTGAAATTTTGTATTATTTTCCAACGTGCTAAATCAGCTTCATTGATAAGAGACCCATTTCCTTTTAAAATATACATTTAAATTACATTCTTGTTAATTCTAATTGTAGTCGATATATTAAATTCGTTTACTACATTTCAAATACTAGCGCAATGTTTGCTACGAGAAAGTGATTATTAAAAACAGCAATTATTTGGGAAAACTTTTCCGCCTCTAGAATAGTAACTAAAGTAATTCCGATTCAACGACACATAGTATACTATGTATGTATAACTAGAAATATATTAACATTTTCCGAGTCAGTTAACATCATAACTTTTTGCTGCCAATAAAATGCTAAATATTTATTTTTAAAACAGGTCAATAATGTTTTATGAGTATTTGAAAGTATGTACCAAATATAACAAAATGTTTTTTATTTAATCTGCAATTTTATACAATTAGGTACTATAATAACGACTTTGAACTCGAAAAAAACAAAAAACATATATAAACTATATTAATATCAATGAATGAAAACTGCATTCGTGTGAATAAAGTGATGGTTTCACATGCTAAGCCGCGATCGTTGCTAACTCAAGGTACAAAAAGAGCCTCAAATTGTAAGTTTAAAAAAGTATAGACAAATAATCTTTTCTGACTGGACATGCTCTTATAATAAAGGATGGCACCAATTTTGATGGAAATTGGATAAATTCATTAAAAATATATGTATGTTCTAAAGGTTATCTTTCAATGAGGAAAAAAGTATAACTACCTATTTTCAAGTGGCAACACGTTTCGTCAGCACGATTGAAGTTAAAACAATTTTTAAACAAAACATTAAAACAATTTAATTCAGTTACTGCTCTCCAAAGTGCGAATAATTATTAAAATGGATATTAATTTTCATTTATACTATGACGATGAAATGTAGGAGCTGATGTGTTTGACCCATGTTAATGCAAATTTGTAATACGCAAGAATTTCGTGCATTTAGCTAAATTTACCAAATTATCATAGGCAACACTGCCCAAAAATAACTGATTTTTGCTATTTTTTGACAGATGTCGCTTGAAGTCTGCTGCCGCCCTTGCTTTTACAGCGACAGAGGTAAGCATTTTTATATTGCTAATTAAATTATGTGCAAGTATATTAACAAAAGCAAATTTGAATATTTTTAGATTATTTTTAGAAAATAAACAGCGCACAGTTTGCTATCCTTTCCAATATTCTTAACTTTTTCTGCATTACAATCAATTATGGCTTTTAATTTCACTCTATTATCTCTAAACGTAGTTAATAATAAACGAGTTTTTTTCGTTAAATTTATATTGATTTTCTAAAAATACCACAATTTCTATTAATAATTTATCTTATTCATTTTTATTTCACTTTTTTTTTCAAATAAATAAGCAAATTTCACAATCAGCTGTCTAAATGCACAAGTCCACATATTTATACAAAATAACTGGTGAAAACTGTTTAAAATGTATTGGCAACTCTTGGCAAATATAGAACATAATTTTGTTATTATGTGAACAAAAAAAATTGGACAAAAGTTAAATATTGAATAAAATTGATAAAAATTGGTCTTTAGTAGTTAATTATTGTTTAGTGCAGTGCTCATCAAAATAAACCCAAGTTTTTTCTGTATCATATGATATTTGACTCAAAAATGCCTCCTAAAACAATCATTCAGTCGCAGCTTAATTGTGCTGTTTGTAAAATTGTCGCTAATTCACCAAATGTCGTGTGCGCAAATTGCCGTACATGGACTCATTCCAAATGTGCGAACTTAATAGAGCGGAATTCACCGAGCTAGCAAATAAAATAAAACATCAAGGTTATCAATGGGAATGTGAAACATGACATTTGTAGGTTAGTAGCGTCACTCAGGATGATCTTGACTCTGAAAGTGATGACGTTGGTAACATCACCATGCTTAGACTTAAACGTCTGCTTGATGACCTGTATTCAAAGCTCACAACATCTTTTGAGAGTAAATTCAACAGTTTCAAGACAGCCATCGAAAAGAATGTTAATGACATCAGAAGGGAGGTCACAAGTTGATCCAAGCAGCACAAAGGCTTGGCCAACACATGTTCTAGTCTTGATAGCAGACTGAACTCAGTAGAAAACAAGCTCGAAACTTTCACTGG